GAGCCCCTCGTCCGTCAGCGCCCGGCAGTCCCACACCGACCACAGGTTGCTCTGCTGGAAGCTCTCCACGTACTGGTCAAGGTGAAGGGCGGCCAGCCAGGCAGCCACTGGCAGAGATCCCTCCTCCTCCATGGCAGGGCACTGGCCACAGAGACCCCGTGCCACTCAGTGCATCTCTTGTGCCTGGCAAGGCTCAGGATGGCATCAGGACCTGGGGATGGAGACAATGGGGTCACGGTCAGTCCCAAAACGCGCTCCAGCTGAAGCCGGGGGTCCCAAAATCAACATTCCCAGTGAAGTCACCTCGTTTTCCTAGGGTCTCCAACTCCCCCATGCCCCAAGGATCACCCAGTCCTGAACTGTGGGGCTGCAGGGCTGTGGGAACATTGGACAGTCCCCATTTAGGTGTCAAAATATAGAGGCCATCCCCACTGAGCCTCACAGGTGATGGCACCACAGGGCCCCAGCATGCTCTTGGGGAGTGACATGTGGGCTGGGGGACAGAGCAGCGTGTGGGAAGGTCCCACACTGGCCATGAAGCCCCCCCAGCCAGCCAGGGGCTTGCTTGGTCTCTGCCCTGCTGGCAGAGCTCTCATGCCATGCTGTAGCTGCCAGTGGGGCCGATCCCTGTTATCCCACCCAGCAGCGGGTGGGATACCCTGCCCTTCTCACCCACCAGCATCACAGCCCCGGCAGTGCCCATTCCAGGAGGGAGGCAGACTCCAGCCGTGCTGGCACACGCAGAGCTGCCAGTGACCCCGGCACTGTCTTATTTTGGGTTGGCTGGAGGCTTTTTTAGACCTGCTAAGAAGGAGCTTGAGGATTTCCTGAACTGTAAATAGGCCGGTCTGATTTGCCGTCAGAGTCACATTTTCTGTGACTCAGGCAGGTCCCAGCCCCCGGCAGCACTTGTGGTTTTGGTGCAAAGGGTGCAGCCGAGCCAAGCTCATCCTTGACCCGACACTAACCGGACACTGATGAGCCTGTGGCACTGTGGGGTCCCCACAGCCAGTGACCCCCACACCTCCAGACACAGGCATCCCAGTGCCGCTGGGATCCAGCCACAGTGCCACTTCCCTGGCACCTCCCAGCACAGTTTGGCTCTGCTTCGGGCTGCAAAAGGTCCTGTGCAAGGGCCAAGTGTCCAAGGAAGGAGCAACAGGGACCCCAGGGCTGGCTGACCCATGGGGCTCCTCACTGGCAGCACCAAAGAAACCAACAGCATCCAGGACTTTCCCACTGCTCCCAGCAATCCCCGCCAACAGCACGAAAATCCCTGAATCAGAATAAAATTCCCTCTCCCACCTCCACACCTAAAAACTCCTCATCTATTATTGAAAATGGGTGAGTGATGGTGCTGGGTGACTCTGCTGTCACCAGATTCCAGCGACACCAGCACGGGCAGGCTCAACCCCAGCCGGGCGCTGCCTGCTGAGGCAAAACAGCAGGGGAGCACAGAAACAGAGGGAAGCACGGTGACAGCAGTATGGCACTGCCACACATGTGCCCTCCTGGCCAGAGCCCAGGAGTCACACTGACCAGTGTCACCTGTTGGCACGGGTGCCAGCACATCCACGCAGTGGTTGGACAGACCCATCAGGAAGGGGCGGCTGCACCAGCGCTCACCACCAGCACCGTCTCAGCACCACCCATGGTGGCCGAGGGCCCTCCTTGCTGCTCACCAGGGATGGGGACAAAGCTCCTGCAAGGGCCCCGCAGGGTCCCTGGTGTGCTGGGCTGGCAGCTCGATGTCCCGCTCTCGCCCTTCGCCCTCACCAAGTAAATCATTCATCAGGTCCTCACTGGGTTCCCTCCTCCGGTCATTAATCATTTAATCTCTGTCCTAAATGAGACGAGGATATTCCAGAAGAAAAATCAACCCAGGGAGACAACATAACCCAGCTGGCTGCTGGGGATTAGGGAGTCACCCTGGCCAGGGCCCCTGCCGAGCCCAAATCCTAACTGTGCTGACCCACCACATTCCTCTCTGGGATTAGGCAAAACCACAGGGGCTGTTTTGTAAGAGACTTAAAAGGCTGGACAAGTGGCATGACAAGGGGATAGTGAGAGCTGCCACCACCCTGGCACTGTGGAACCAGCACTCCAGGGAATGAACGAGGATGCCAAAAAACACTGGGGCCAGACCCCTCAGCCCCATCTCAAACCCACAGAGCCCTCACTTTCCTAGTACTGGGGATGAAGGACCTGGGGGTGCCTGAGGCTGGTCTCCACTCTCTGGACTGAGGGGCTCGCTGAGCCCCTCTGTCCCCAAACTTTGGTGCTGGCTGCTTTTTCGGGGGCACTGCCAGCCGCCCCAGCCCACCTTAGATGCCCTCAGCTCACAGGGCTTGGGATTCACCTCTTGCCCCAGCAGAGCTAAGGATCCCAGCGCAGGCAGGAGTCCCTTGTGCTGCGGGGGACATGCCCACCACATCCCACTGCTGTGCTGCTCTCAAGGTGGTGGCTTCCCATCCCACAGGTGGGGCACTAACGAGGGCCAGGCTCCTCGGATTAACGAGCTGTGTACAGCAGGCGAGCGCGCTCCTCCCCTGGCTCCACTGAAGCCACGAGCACTGCAGGGGTGAGTGCAGGCCCAGGTGATCCGGTTACCTCTACCCAGGTGTTGGGGATCAGGCAGCTTGACCAGGGCCATCAGTATTCGTTGGCACAGCTGCACCGAGCGGCTCCAGCAACAGCACCCGAGCACCAGGTTTGTCCACAGCTCTTCCCTGCCCGTGCCTTCACTGGCACCCAGGATGGTGGCCATGAGCCAGGAAAATCCACCATAGGAGCCTGGCGGGCGCCCAGCACCCTCTTGATGGATCTAGTTCCCATTGCAATTCCTCCTCCAGTGAAGGCAAACTCTGCCTGCACCCCACGTTCCCCTTGCCCAGCCCCGTGGGCTTGTTAATCAAGGAGAGCTAATTACCCGCACATGGTCCCTGGGCTCGGCAGGAGGAGGTGGCCGCTGTGCCTGTGGTCTGGCTGCTGCAGCAGAGGTTTGCTGAGGAGTCTCTTCCCACACCAGGACTTCCTCAAACGCCACCTCAGCGATGGGAACTTTCCGGAAAGCCGAGCGGGTTCTGAGCCGGGACGTGGTGCAATACCCGCCCTGGGCCCCTGCAGAACTGCAGGGACTCAGCCCAGCGATGCACCAACCACAGCCACTGCTGACCACAGCCACCACGGGGACAGGGAGGCTGGACCCCGGGGCCGTTACAGCCCCAGGTGACAGCAGGATGGGGCAGGGCCTTTGGCCGGAGAGGAAGGAAGAACTGGGCAGGATGGTCCCCGCCAAGTGAGGGCTCCCCAGCAGCGCAGCAGGGACCAGGCACCGAGGACGGGGCTACCCGGGCAGCAGCGCTGGCCACCAGACAGAACGGGCAAGCGGGTGGGTGGCTGCCGTGTCCCCACGACCCCAGGACCCCTGTGGATCCCCAGGGAGGGCACTGAGCTGTCACCCACCCGTGTCCCGGTAGGCAAAGGGGACAAAGCCGGGTGACGGAGGAACCTGTGGGAACAGGGACAGCCACCAGTGGGAAGGGGGTTCGTCAGCCATCACGCTCCAGCAGCATTGGGCAACCAGCCTCACACCCCAGCGATTTTTACCCTCTTCTGCCAAAATTAAGGAGAGATCCTTAGCCAGGGACCGTGGCCAGCCAGGATGGGGCCAATGTCCCCAACATCCCTGTTGGATCTGGTGGATGAACCCGCTGTCCCCGGTGTCCCCACAGGACCCAGGACACAGACCCGCTGGCGCTACCGCAGACGCTGCCGTGCTTGGCTGGGAATCGAAAGCACTGCATCCTCACCCTGAAACTGCCCAACCGCAATCCCCAGCTCGCAGCAAACACTCAAAAGCAGAAGAAGGGTCCTGGGACAGCAGCCATCACTCCCAGACCCCCTCCCACCCAAACCCCTCCCCCCTCCACCTCAGTGGGTGCCCATCTGTGTGGCAGTGCCCACGGTTTCACCTGGGAGGATGAAGCTTTTTAATTTTCAAGATCTCAGCCCAAAAAATGCAAATTGCACTCAAACCTCCCAAGGAGCTGTTCAGAGATCAAGTTCAGGCTTGCAGAGCCACAATCCACGGGTGTAAGAGATTCTCTCAGAGCCTCCTCCCACTGTCAGGTGTTCCCATCTCCAGGTGGTTCATGTGGAGCAGCCTGAGTGCTCCCACACACACCAACTGCGCCCAGGGGCACCAGGGTCCGCCCCAACGTGGGAACCGCCCTGAGATGCCTGTGCCTGGAGATGGGGGAGTGCAAAGAGGTGGAAGGTGGGGGATGAGGAGGAGGGTCAGGAGTCAGGGACAAGGGGGCAGGAAAACTGGGGTTTCCTCATTTCCCCGAGGTCCCACCTGCATTCCCCTTCTCCCCTGGAAGCAAAACCTGGAAAGGTGAAACACACCCTGGGCTGTGGCACACACGAACAAGGACACCTGAGCTCCCTGCATTCCCTCCCAGAGCATTGCTGCCTGCCTCACAAATCCAGCCAGAAATGGGCAAATCCGGCCAGAAAAGGGGCAAATCCATCTGGCAATGCTGTCACTGCCCACCGAGCCCCGCTGGGATGCGCTCAGCTCCTGACACACTTTCTGGAAGCAAACTAGGTCGGGAAGCCAAACCCCACGTGCACAGCCCTCCCACAGCAGCCCCCGTGTCCCGGGCTCTGGTGATGTTGTGGGGGCCCGTGCCAACAGCCCAGCTGAAGGTGGAAGGTGCCCTGACAGGTCACCCTTGGGCGCACAACCCCTTCCTTCGTGGCACCAGCATCCAGCACCGACACTGTGTGGGTCCCTGTTTCATCTTCCCATAAGTGGGAAGTGAAAGTCTCGTGTGGATGGGGGGTCCCTTTTCCAGCCCTGCTGCCCTCCTGCCTCCTCTTCATTCTCCTCAGGGTGCAGTGGGCACCTCAAACCCATGCTCAGGCCCTGTTCCCAGCAGCAGGGTCACCCCGTGCCAGGGCCACCCCTGGGCACCAGAGCACTGCAGACAAGCCAAGCCATGTCACACAGATGCTGCAGCAGGGACAGAGGGACAGGGACCCCCCACCGCACACACCCACCCCCTCTTTGCAAAAGCCTTTCTACACAGCCAGCACCCCATCCCTTGTAGATTTGGGGGGTCCATCTGTAAAAATTCCCCAAGCACCAATCCTCCCACGGCCACAGGGTCCTGCCACAGGAGCCACA